AAACTACTCATCCAGTGACCAGTATATTTGCCCTCTACCAGACTCCTGTACCCCACTGGTCTGGGTCTGTCACATTACTTTTAGGATTAATAGGGAAATACGTTCATGTCTTGTCAACAGAAGTGGAAATACAATTTTCTAGCATAATTAGATGTAAATGTGTGTTTATGTTCAAGAATACACATCTGATGCAAACAGCCTTAGAGTTCTTGTTACCTTAAAGATGTCTACATTCTGTTTAAAAAACAACAACATTGAATTTGGATTGAATTTGGTTAACTTTGTCTGTTTAATGTTCTAAAACCTAGTTTTGTTACAGCTATAACATATACTTTATTCTGTTTTGTTTCAGTGGTACATATCTATCCTTAATCTTTTCCAGCAATCTTTCTCTCTCTGCTCTTTTAGTAGAATCATAGAAGATTAGGGTTGGAAGAGACCTCAGGAGGGCATCTAGTCCAACCCCCTGCTCAAAGCAGAACCAACCCCAACTAAATCATCCCAGCCAGGGCTTTGTCAAGCCGGGCCTTAAAAACCTCTAAGGATGGAGATTCCATCACTTCCCTAGGTAACTCATTCCAGTGCTTCACTACCCTCCTCGTGGAATAGTTTTTCCTAATATCCAACTTACACCTCCCCCACTGCAACTTGAGACCATTGCTTCTTGTTCTGTCATCTGCCACCACTGAGAACAGCCTAGCTCCATCCTCTTTGCAATCCCCTTCAGGTAGTTGAAGGCTGCTATCAAATCCCCCCCCATACACACACACTCTTCTCTTCTGCAGACTAAATAAGCCAAGTTCCCTCAGCCTCTCCTCATAAGTCATGTGCCCCAGCCCACTAATCATTTTCTTTGCCCTCCGCTGGACTCTCTCCAATTTATCCACATCCTTTCTGTGGTGGGGGGCCCAAAACTGGATGCAATACTCCAGATATGGCCTCACCAGTGCCAAATAGAGGGGAATAATCACTTCCCTCAATCTGCTGGCAATGCTCCTACTAGGGCACACTGTTGACGCATATCCAGCATCTTGTCAACTGTAATCCCCAGGTCCTTTTCTGCAGAACTGCCGGTGGGGCCAGTCAGTCCCCAGCTGTAGCAGTGCATGGGATTCTTTCGTCCTAAGTTCAGGACTCTGCACTTGTCCTTGTTGAACCTCATCAGATTTCTTTTAGTGCAATCCTCCAATTTGTCTAGGTCACTCTGAACCCTATCCCTACCCTCCAGCATATCTACCTCTCCCCCCCAGCTTAATGTGATCCACAAACTTGCTAAGGGTGCAATCCATCCCATCATCCAGATAATTAATGAAGATGTTGAACAAAACCGACCTCAGGACAGACACCTGGGGCACTCCATTTGATACTGGCTACCAACTAGACATTGAGCCTTTGATCACTACCCGTTGAGCCCGACGATCTAGCCAGCTTTCTATCCACCTTATAGTCCATTCATCCAATCCATACTTTCTTTAACTTGCTGGCAAGAATACTGTGGGAGACCATATCAAAAGGTTTGCTAAAGTCAAGATATATCACGTCACTGCTTTCCCCATATCCACAGGGCCAGTTAGCTCATCATAGAAGGCAATTAGGTTGGTCAGGCATGACTTGTCCTTGGTGAATCCATGTTGACTGTTCCTGATCACCTTTCTCTTTTCCAAGTGCTTCAAAATGGATTCCTTGAGGACCTGCTCCATGATTTTTCCAGGGATGGGGGTGAGGCTGTAGTTCCCCGGATTCTCCTCCTTCCCTTTTTTAAAGATGGGCACTATATTTGCATTTTTCCAATCATCCGGGACCTCCCCCAATCGCCACGAGTTTTCAAAGATAATAGCCAATGGCTTTGCAATCGCATCAGCCAACTCCCTCAGTCCCCTCGGATACATTAGATCTGGCCCCATGAACTTGCACATGTCCAGCTTTTCTAAATAGTCCTTAACCTGTTCTTTCACCACTGAGGGCTGCTCACCTCCTCCCCATACTGTGCTGCCCAGTGCAGCAGTCTGGGAGGTCACCTTGTCTGTGAAGACCGAGGCAAAAAAAGCATTGAGTACTTCAACTTTTTCCACATCATCTGTCACTAGGTTGCCTCCCCCATTCAGTAAAGGTCCCACACTTTCCCTGTCCACCTTCTTGTTCCTAACGTACCTGTAGAAACCCTTCTTGTTATCCTTCACATCCCTTGCTAGCTGCAACTCCAATTGTGCTTTGTCTGCATAATAATGCTGTTGTCCTCATAAGTGAAAACTTAATTTTTAGACATTTCTGTAATTGACCTTAATCTTATTTCAGATTTTGATAATGAAGATTTTTCATTTTTCTCAAACATTCATTTTAGAGCAAATCCTGAAGTTTTAACCCAGTTTCTCTTAAATCTTGCTCAAACACAGCTGCTATTGACTTTACTGGCAGCTGTAAAAATGACCTGACTTAAAACTGAGGCATTAGGCCCTATAAGAACATTTTTCTCAAAATTAGTTGTGTGCTTTAGTAAATATTGCTAGAATTAAACAACAGCTGGATTCTATTTTATAACTTTACTGGAAAAAAGTGAATACATGGGCTATATGAGACATGTTTAAGTTCTGTTTTGTTTGCTGAGTTGTGATTAATATTCTGATATCTTTGACTTCTCAGGTAGTGCACAAGTCATTTCAGGAGGACAAGTAGAATATAAAATTCTGTCTGGCATTCGCTACATGTGGTGGTACCATTTAGTCGGCCTTATCTGGACTAGTGAATTCATCCTGGCTTGTCAGCAAATGACTATCGCTGGAGCAGTGGTGACTAGCTATTTCAACCGGTATGTGTAAAATTTACCTCCTTGTATGGTTGGTGTTTTCTTAGCATTCACTTTGACTATTTTTAGGAAAACCACTATAAAATGCCTTGGATTTATATTTAGAGTAGTATCTTGGGAGCTAAATTATTCCAAGAATGTGAGACTAGAAAGTCAAGCAGCTCATTGCAAGGCTTCGAACACGATCTCATGTGACATTAATATGTAGCACGTCTCTTTAAATCCTAGAAAATTTTGAGCCAAATTAAGCCCTGGTACAAGCAAAACCCAGAATAAATTTTAACCTTTTCTCAGTAAATGTCGGTAGTTCTAAGTAAAGGTGTAACACATAGCCCCAGAGTAATTCTAAAGTAGTGTGACTTGATCTCCTTTCCGTCCCTCCCACCAGGCTTTAATCTGGTATGGCTGAATAAGCCTCTAAAGTTTACTGTAGAAAACCATTGAAAATCATGTCATGCTGTGCAAATATTTTTACTTGAAGTATTTTACTTTGTGTTACCAAGACACCACCTTAGCTAGATGTGCAGGAATTGTAAAAATCTCATTTACTACTTACTATTTATCCTGTTTTACGTTTTGCACTTCCTTCGTATTGGATAGTGAAACAAGATGGGTTTCATGCAGTAAATCAGTGCTGTTTTTGTTTCAATTTCCAACACTGCAGGGGAATGTTTTGATCTTCTAGCCACATTGCAGTGTTTCCTCTGCTCCATTCCATGCAAATGTGGTAACAAATTTTCTGTTCTGTGAAAGTCTGAGACTTTGAAAAAATTCTTGTTCCACAGTGGAACAAACAAAACAAAAACATGGATTTTTTTTTGCAAAAAAGCTGTATGGCCAGTGGGGGGGCGGGTATCCATGTGAGCTACAGGTTTGTAGCAGTTTGCCATGTGAAGAGCCTGGGAGCACAACAGCCCACCTGGCAGGCTGCCCCAGAGCTGGGAACCTGGGATGTGTGGGAGCTGGGGCTCCCAGGTCATCCAGGCTCTTAGGCCGACAGGGAGCTATCAGGCAAGCTGTCAGGAAACCAGCCTGGTTCCTGTTGGAATTTCATCCAAATCAAAACAATCCCACAAAACATTTTGATTTTGACAAGTCAGCACTTTTGGATAGAAAGTGTTCTGTTGGAAAACTCCCGATGAACTCTACTCTCCTCTCTTCCTGCAGGAAAACCAGCTTAGACCTTGTCGATAATTGGGATTTTTTTTTCCAAAAATTTTCCGCTGTTGGAACACTGGTTCCACTCCATTGATGTTAGCAATGTTGGGAGCCCTAGAGTAGACAGATTGCTGGCTGCCACCACCATTTTAAATACTGTGTTTTCTGTCCCTGCTCAGAGTAAGTCTAATCAACACAGCATTTAAAACACTGTCAGAAGCTCATCTACTCTCGGGCTCTCAATAGAGCTCAGGCTGAACTGGTGTTAGCCAGTGGACTTTTTTTTTTTAAATAATCCTAGTGTAGACAGAATGTAAAATGCCCATTTTAAAGGGTTTGGGGAAAGGATCAGTATACTGACATAATCTTTTACCAGTTCACCCACTACGTCAAGACTAGAGATTCACATCTCCTTTCTCTGACTGAAGGATCAACACAAGTAACTAGTGCCCTACAGAGCTGTATGTAGTTAACTGGCCCTTTGCTCCTGAGGCTACAGCATGGCATCCAATCAGTGCTCCATTATTGAAATCTGAATTTCTCAGTCTTAAACAGTGAAGAGTTATACTAGAGCAGTGGTTCTCAACCAGTGGTATGCGTGCCCTGTGGGGACACAGATGTCTTTCAGGGGGTACATCAACTCATCTAGATATTTGTCTAGTTTTACCACAGGCTACATAAAAAGTACTAGCGAAGTCAGTGCAAACTAACATTTCATGCAGACAGTGACTTGTTTATACTGCTCTATAGTCTATACACTGAAATGTAAGTAGAATATTTATATTCCAATTAATTTATTTTATAATTATATGGTAAAAATGAGAAAGTAAGCAATTTTTCAGTAATAGTGTGCTGTGACACTTTTGTATTATGTCTGATTTTGTAAGCAAGTAGCTAATAAGTGAGGTGTAACTTGAGGGTATGCAAGATAAATAAGACTCTTGAAAGGGGTACAGTAATCTGAAAAGGATGAGAGCCACTGTACTAGAGGGCCAAATCCTGAGATTTTTTTACTCCATTAATTTTGGGTATCAATAGTAATTGGGAGTTTGCCTGAATGAAACTCAAACCACACTCAAAGTCCAAACCACATTGCTTAAGGAACTAGGGTGTTGCGGGGGGAAATCTTTCCACATTTTACAGAGATGTCTGCCCCAGTGCTTTCTCTGATTTGACACCTATACTGAAGCTCACAGTCATTAAATTGCCATTATTTGTTGCAGTTTGCGCAGTGCTGCATAAAGTACTAACTCAGATACTACGATGCTCCAAGGTGCACATGGAGTAGTTCGGGGGTGAGGCAGGTAAAGGTGATGTTAAGCTACTCTCTCATACTGCACACACACATCTGATCTTTAGAGCCCAGCAAATCCGCAGATATTCGCTTTAGATCTGCAGATATCTACATCGGTGATTTTTGCGGCTCGGATGCGGATTCAAATTTTGTATCCACACAGGGCTCTACTGATCTTAGGGCTGTTAAGCCAGTCCCCGATGTAAAATATAGTGCAGCCTCTGAGCTCTTGTACTTTGCACTGGCTGCCAGCAACCCGAAGGACTATTCTGGAAGCTAGGGATCCCCTGGACATGGAGACAACCTGCCCATGCTGCCTACAATCAGGGCTAGAAAGGCGGCATTGAAGCTGCTGTGTTGGCTCTCTACCCCTAGAGGATTAGGTAATTCTCAAGAGACCAGACCCATGAGCTTTCCAGCTACTTTCCACCACCATTGTGAGGTCCAGGATTGGGTTCTTGGAATAGACAAGTTCTGTGCTCCAAATTCCATTGAAATCTCTCTCCTTAAATGTACTTCATTTGTTTGGCAGCCGACACCCATTGTGTTGAGAGAGCTGTGCATGGGAAGGGAAATGCTATATATATTAATTATAATCATAATGCACGTTGTGCATGCAGAATTTCCTTTCCCCCACAGAATTATATATATATAATGATGGTGATCCGTCTTCCTCTCCCTCGATCTGTCAGTATAGATAAGTAGATAAATCAAAGCAGTGAAGTAAGGGGGATAGAAAGGTGAAATAGCAATATTATTGATCTCATAGAGGGCAGTAAACTATATTAGTTCTTATTGACAACAATGAATTTGTCACCAGGAATCTGCAATTTAATGTGTTCTGTGATGCAGCCTCATAAATGCTTGTCACAAGTGGTTTGTTTATGATACCCCATGGAGAGGTTTTCCTTCTAGCTAGTGAATGGCCACAGGAAATGGAACAGCCTTTCCCTGAGGAAACCTGCTTCCTCAGTACACACAACAATCCATTAGGCACTTCTCAGCCACTGTCCATAAGTGGAATTAAAAATGGGGAGGGCAGAGAGTTGTTTCAGCTGGATTAGCTTTACAGGTGACATCTGTTTGACCTGAAATAATAATACTGAAACTACACTTTGCTTTCTTTTATTTCAGATAAAAGATAAATTCCTAAGAGGCCTTATTAATTTAATAAAAGAAATAGTGGTTCATGTAACGGCTACTCTTTTATAACTTGCAAAAAGAGACTGCGCTCTTGATGCCCCCTTCCTTTTTTTTCTTTTTTTTCTTTTTTTTGGAGAAAGCTCTTTGTGGAAATCTTGTTAGCTTGGTTTGTTTTGTATAAGGATTTATTTCCATCATGTGTTGAAGGGTTAAGCAGCTATGCACTTAACCCCCTCACTGTGATCAGACGTTTCCCCCATCACTGATTTAAAGAAAAAGGTTTTATGGATTTGACTAGTTACCCAAAATTATTTACTGAAGGCCCAATTCTACAAATGCTTAAGCGTGTTGAATAGCTGTTCTCATGCAAGTAGTCCCATAGTACTCTTGTGAGTAACTTTACTCACATGCTTTAGTGTTTGTAGGATCAGAGCCCTGAGCCTGCAAACCCTTACATGTATTACTTCTGGGGGAATTCTGTGCCGATGCGCAATGCAGAATTTTGCAGACATTAACGTTGTGCATGCAGAATTTCCTTTCCCCCACAGAAATGGGCTGCAGTGCTGCTAGCTGCCACTAGGGGCCAATGGACTTGGCAGAGCCCAGCTTGCACATAGAAGACACTGCCAGGGGGAGGGGGAGGGAGCTAGAGGGTTCCTGGCAGCTGCAGTTCCCAGCACGCCCTGAGGGAAGGAGCTGGCGGCACTCAGGAAACTGTGCAAGCCTGGAACCAAGCATCAGGCTGTTTCTCCCTCTGGATCCCTGGGCTCTGGGGCCGGAAGGGGATGGGTGTCTGGGCTCTGGGGGGCCCCATGGTTGAGCTCTGGGGAGAAGGGGGTTTGGGTGTATTGGCGGAGGGGACCCAGAGGTGGGCTCTGGGGGTAAGGGGTTTTGGGCGTCTGTCCCCCTGGCTGGGCTCTGGGGGGTGGGAGGAAGAGGGAAGAGAAACAGGAACTGGGTTATCATTGGGGTTGTGACGGGTTGGATCACAGAAACCCCCTTGGGAACTGCCAACTAATGTGCCAAGGCTACTGCCCCTGCTTTCCCTGCCAGCTCAGGACTCCAGCACCCTGTCTTGTTGAGCCAGACACGCCCGTCTGCTCCAACACTAGGGTTACCATATCTCATAAATAAAAAAAGAGGACCCTCCACGGGCCATGGCCCCGCCCATTTCCCCACCCCTAGCCCCGCCCCAACTCCGCCCCTTCCCGCTCTTAAACAGAGCGGGGGCGGCTGGAGCCTCCAGCCGCCGGGGCTGTGTGTAACTGACACAGTGTCAGTTACACAGAGCCGCAGCCGCTGGAGGCTCTGTTTAAGAACCGGGCTGCCCGAGCGCTACCGGCTTCGGGCAGCCCCCCTGCCTCCAGACCCTGCGCCG